TGCTGGTGCCTCAGGCCAGGGCTTTAACCCACTGTGCCACAGTGCCGGCCCCATATGATGCTTATCCTTCTAATTCTTTTAGCTTAGTCACACGACTGCTTTCATACCCTAAAATAATGAGATATAAAGTTTACTATTACACATCTCATGTTAGATGCAAGGGCCATATGAGAAAGATTTTAAATATATATGCATATATATACATAAATTTGTATGTATATACACATATATACATATATACATATATGTATATATACATGTATACATACATATATACATATTTGTATATCATATATGTGATATATATGTATATATGTATATATACATATCCTCACATACATACATGTATACAAATATATATCAAATAAAGCATGAAATATTCATAGCTATTCCAGTCAGTTCTGCTACTGGTCCTTGTGTTTTTTGGTATTCATATCCCAACTTTCTGCCTCTGCCTTTGGCATATTCCCTCCCCTGTAGCTGGCCTAGGCTCCTTGCTTGCTGTGTAACCCAAATCTTGATTCCAGACAGGTTTGGGCCACCAGTAGTGCTGCCTGTGATGGCTGACTTTTCTGTTTTCATCAATAGGACTTCTGTTGTTTAGCCCTTCCCTCTCTCCCCTTTTCTAGACATATTTTCCTTCAGCTTCACTGCATAGTCAGGATAACTTGATAGGATTAGTCACCACTGCCACCACCATAAGTCTCTTCTTTATCTATAGGTGTAGTGGCCTGAGAAGCCCTAAATGGTCAGATGGCTGTTTCAGTTTCTGATTTAATGGAACCATTGTCGTTCTCTTGATGGAAGCGTTCCTACTTTTGGAACGGATAACTACACCAGTGATTCTCAACTAGGGACGATTTTGTCCCCTAAAGGACGTTTGGCAATGTCTAGCGACATTTTTGGTTGTCACAGCTGGGGAGCAGATGACATCTAGTGGTAGAAATTAGAAATGCTGCTAAACATCCAACACTGCCCAAATCTGTCTCCTGTAACAAAGAATTAGGCAGCCCCAAACGGTAATACTGATGTTGAAAAACCCTGCCCTAGATCAGCAGAGCCCAGAGTTTTAGGGATGGGAAGCAAAATACTTCGTCTAATACATCAATATGATGGTACAGAGAGGCTCTGCTCATTTCATGCCTTGTTTCCCAAAACCCCTGACCCTGGCTATGGGGAAATATGTTGGTGAATGTTGACTTGTAGTGTATGCCCATGAGGTACTAGACCTAGATAATTCTGTTACTATGTCCTCAAGAAAGAAGTCATTCTACCATGGTATCATGCCATGTTATTGTGGCAAAATAAAAATGACGTGATTTCAGCCATTTTTAAGTGTACAGTTCAGGGGCAACAGTTACAGCCACACTGATGTACAATCATCACCATCATTACCAAACCTTTCCATTATCTAAAACAGAAGCTTAATGTAACCTTTCCATTTCCCCTCCCCTCAGTCCCTGGTAACCTCTAATTTACTCTTTCTCTCTATGAAGATGCTTATTCTAAATATTTACTGTGAATGAAATCACACAATATTTGTCACTCTGAGTCTGGATTATTTTAATTATATGATTCTCAAAGTTCACCCATGGCATGTCATGTATTTATTCTTTTTAAAATATTTATTTTCATCTGGTTGAATGGGTGACAGAGAGGGAACGAGAAGAGGGGAGTGCCTGCAGTGCCGGCATTCTGATATGGGTTCCGGTTCGAGTCCCAGTTGCTCCACTTCCAATCCAGCTGCTCCATTTCCGATCCAGCTCTCTGTTATAGCCTTGGAAAGCAGTAGAAGATGGCCCAAGTGCTTGGGCCCCTGCATCTGCGTGGGAGACCTGGAGGAAGCTTCTGGCTCCTGGTTTCAGATCAGTGCAGCTCCAGCCGTTGTGGCCATCTAGGGAGTGAATCATCAGATGGAAGACTGCTTGCTCGCTCTCTCTGCCTCTGCCTCTCTGTAACTCTTTCAAATAAATAAATAAATAAATCTTTTTTTTAATTAAAGATTTATTTATTTCAAAGTCAGAGTTACACAGAGAGAGCAGGAGAGACAGAGAGAGAGAGAGGTCTTCCATCTGCTGGTTCACTCTCCAACTGTCTGTAATAGCCAGGGCTGGGCCAAGAGCCCGGAACCCAGTCAGAATTCGCATACGGGTGGCAGGGAGACAACTGTTGCCTCCTGGGGCACACATTAACAGTATCTGAAGTGGAGAAGCTGCGCCTTGAAACAGGCACTCCAATATCAATATCATCAATATCCATATAGTATGCAGGAATCTCAAGAGGTGACTTTAACCTCTGTGCCAACAGTGCACCTGAGTTCCTCCCAATTTCTGTTTTCAGTTTTTTAGAGTACATATTTTTTTAAAAAAGATTTATTTATGTGCAAGGCAGAATTACAGAGGGATAGGGAGAGGGGCACATTTCATCAGTTTCACTCCCTGAATGGCCCCAAACCCAGATGGTCCCAATGGCCAGGCTAAAGCCAAGGGCCTGGAGCTTCATTAGGGTCTCCCGCCTGGGTGAAGAGGCCCAAGCACTTGGACCAACTTCAGGTGTTTTTGCAGCCACATTAGCAGGAAGCTGGATTGGAAGTGGAGCGGCTGCGACTCAAACAGCGCCTGTATGGGATGCCAGCTTAACCTGCTGCGCCACAACACTGGCCCCTAGAGGGTATACTTAAGAGCAGAACTGCCAGGCCGTGTAATCATTCTATGGTTACGGTAGCCACTTAAAGAGATCATCACCTAACTCCATCTATATAGCAAACCATCCCAAGACTTTGTGGTTTAAAACAATGATTTCCTGTTTTCCAAATGTGTGCTCTATTTTCCTGACTTCATCTAATTCTCTCTAGTCTCAGTGGGCTGCACAGACTCTAAAAGTTACCTAACTTGTTTCTTCACTCCTGCTTCTATCTACATTTAAAAATGTAGAGGGCAATAGTACATACAGTACCAAGCTACAGCTGAAGCTAGAAGCAATTATTTCTTTTCCAAAAAAAGATTTATTTATCTGAAAGGCAGAGTTAGAAAGAAGCAGAGAAGAGAGAGGTCTTTCATCTGCTGGTTCACTCCCCAAATGGCCACAACAGCCAGGGCTGCACCAGAGAAGCCAGGAGCCAGGAGCTTCTTCCAGGTCACCCAGGTGGGTGTAGGGGCCCAAGCACCTGGGCCATCTTCTGCCTTCCCAGGCGCATTAGTAGGATCTGAAGTGGAGCAGCCGGGACTCAAAAGGCCATTCCTGCTGCAGGGGGAGCTTAACGCCCTGCGCCGCAGCCAGCCCCTGAAATGGCTTAAATAAAAGTGAGCTATTTGCAACCCTCGCTTAGAAACACTATGATCTCTACTGAGGAGTTTTCGCCAAAGTGAAAGAAAAGAGAAGCCTAAGGAGTTAAGTTACAAAATTCCATTAAATATCTGACATGATAAAAAAAAAAAAAAAAAAAAAAAAAAAACACGGAAAGCACCACCATCGGCGCCTGCGCAGAGGCGGGGCGAAAGCGAGCCTGCGCGGTCGCGGAGGGCGGTGCGGCGCATGCGCGGGGGCGAGACGCGCCTGCGCTGGGCGGAGCCCGCAGCTTGGCGCGGCGGCCGGGTGTCCGCACGCGTTTGTGGTTTGTTTTGTAGGTACGGCGAGAGGGAAGCCCGTGGCTGGGTGATGGATTTTGAGAATCTCTTCTCAAAGCCCCCCAACCCAGCCCTCGGCAAAAAACAGGCCTCGGATTCTGATGAAAGGTGATCCCACATTTTTTCACTTTGTGACTGCAGGTCCCCGGCAGGGCTCCGCCGCCTCGTGCCCTGGAGGGCACCCTGGGTCCTCGTCCACGCCGCTCCGTGACGGGCGCGGGGGCGCGGGGCCTGACGTCGAGAGGCGGTCGTGCGGGCAGGGGCGGGGCGGGGGCCACGCGCGGGGCCCGGTGCCGTGTCCAGCGTGGGGCGGGGTCCCCGGGATGCTCCCCTTTTTCGCCTGGCCCTCTAGGCCGCAAGGGGAGCCCTCCCGAGGGTCCTCGTGGCGCTTCTGTCTCCTGCGCACAGGAGGCTTCCGCGGGACTGGGCTCGTTTGTCCTTGAGACTGGCACGTGCTAGGCTCGCTCCTTGTAGAAAGGACCGAACCACGAGTTCGTTAAACGGCGAAGTAGCGAACACTCTGCGGGTCTTCTACCGGTAGGCATCGGAGGTTTCTATGGAGATCATAATTAACACCATTTGGATTCAGTCCCACCTTTAGGCTGAAAAGCACCTAAAGTCGCTGGCCAGACGGCACTAATTTGATTTCCCTACTGGACGCCCCTATAGTGTAGTTTATCTATACCCAAATATTCATTGGCTTTTCTTTTTAAGTTTGAAATGCTAAAAACCACCTTCTCTTCCTAAATCTGTCTTCTCTGTTCCCCAGTTTCCCTAAGCCAAAACCTTGACACACATCGTTTTATTCCTTTATTTACGGTGTCCCAGATGTAAGATGTATCTCTGATTCTGGTTTGTTTTTTTTTTTTTTTTTTTTTTGAAAGGCAGAAATACAGAGAGAAGGAGGGGGTGATAATCTTTCATCTGCTGGTTCACTCCCCAGATGGCCGCAACTGAACAGGAGCCAGGAGCCTCTTTCTTCCAGATCTCCCACATGGGTGCAGGGGTGTGGCCAGGGCTGGGTCAGGTGGAAACCAGGAACCAGGAGCTTCTTCCGGGTCTCCCACGTGGTGCAGGGGCCGAAGGACTTCAGCCATCTTCTGCTGCTTTCCCAAGTACTTTAGCTGGGAGCTGGGTTGGAAGTGGAGCAGTGGGGACTCAAACTGGCACCATTAAGGAACGCAGGCAGAGCAGGTAGAGGCTTAACCTATGCCACGGTGCCAGCCCCCCCCCCCCTTTTTTTAAAGATTCATCTTATTTGAAAGGCAGAGTTATATATAATGAGAGGGATTATTCACTGGTTCACTCCCCAAATGGCACAAGCAGCGAGCTTCATCTGGGTCTCCCACAAGGGTGCAGGGGCCTAAGCACTTGGGCCATCTTATGCTGCTTTCCCAGGCACATTAGCAGGGCCCTGGATTGGAAATGGAGCTGCCAGTATTCCAACTGGTGCCCAAGCCACAGTGCTGGCCTCAGATTTTACCTCTGAGCATCATTCACTTCTCTTTGGGTCAAACGCCTTACTGGAAACTGCGGCCTTCAGGCTAAGAGCCTACTAAAACGCTTTGTGGTTACTACAAAAGCTTTACTACATACTTTACATGAAGTTTATCATTTAAGGCTCACAACAACCTTGAAGAGAAATGATGTTACCCTTATTTTACAGATGAGAAAGTTGAGGCGTAGTTTAAGTGGCAATGCTAGGATTAAATTGCTCAGGTAGTCTGAAGTAAAATGAGACGTAAATATTGGAAAGACAAAGACGCTAATTGCCGGCAGATTATATGAACATCTCAGAAAAAACGAAAGAAGCCGCTTGATAAACTATTAAGATAGTTGAGAGTTCAACAAGGTGAATCATCATGAGATAATAGTAACATAAAATTCCATTAGCAGCTTGAATATTGGACAGGAGTCATTCACAAAAACTTAACTGAAGGGCCGCTGCTGTGACAGTGGGTAAGGCCACCGCCTGCAGTGCCGGCATCCCATATTGGCACCGGTTCGAGTCCCAGCTGCTCCACCCAATCCAGCTCTGCTATGGCCTCAGAAAGCAGTAGAGGATGGCCCAAGTGCTTGGGCCCCTACACCTACACGGGAGACCCTGAAGAAGCTCATGGCTTCAAATCGGCCCAGCTCCGGCCATTGCAGCCATTAGAATAAATCAGCAGATGGAAGACCCCTCTCTCTCTCTCTGCCTCTCTGTAACTCTGCCTTTCAAATAAATCTTTAAAAAGAAAAAACCCTGAAATACATAAAGGACACTTGGAATTCTACCAGAATTCATCATGGAAGTAAGGTCGACTATTCATTCAAATCATTTGCCCATTTTCCTGTTTTAACGGGGAAGACAGATCATGGAGGGACTCTGAGTGAGATGAGAGGCCTTTGGAGGGTTTTCAGCAGAGTAATGTTATCTGATATTTTAGCAGGGTTATTCTGAATAGATTGAGAATTGAATGTAGGGGAAGCGAGAGCAGCATAAATCATTTACTCGTGGCAAGAAGTGGTCAAATGTGAGTGTATTTCAATGATAGTGCAAACTGAAGTTCCTCAGATTGGATAGGAGATGTGAGAGAGGAGTCAAGATCAACTTCAAGGTTTTGGTCAGCTCTGAAGGACAGAGTTGCCTGTTCAGACAGTGTGATTAAGTTGTAGAGAAGAAATCAAGGGTTCAGTGTCAGACATATTAAGATGATGTCTAGGGGCTGGCGTGACACAGTGAGCTAAGCTGCTACCTGCCGTGCCAGCATCCCGTATCAGAATGTGGGTTCTAGTCTTGGCTTCTCTTACCAATACAGCTCCCTGCTAATGTGCTTGGGAAAGCTCCAGATGGGGAAAGCTCCAGATGATGGCCTGAGTGCTTGCACCCCTGCCACCCGCGTGAGACGGAGTTCTGGGGCTCCTGGCTTCAGCCTGGACCAGTCCTGGCAATTGTAGCCATTTGGAGAGTGAATCAGCAAATGGAAAATTTCTCTCCCTGTCTATCTGTCATGCTGCCTTTCAAACAGATTTAAAGGACTTTTTAAAAGATTATGTGCAGTAAATATCCAGGGGGCAACGTTGAATAGGAAGTTGGCCCTGAAATAGATCACCAGGAATGATTGTCTACACAATGGAGGGAAATGTAAGGATTGAAATTTTTAGGGCTGTAAAAATAAGGAACCAACACAGGAGACAGAATAGCAGCTCGTGAGGGAAGACAAGACCAGGAGTGCTGAGGATCCCTGAAGCTCCTGGAAAAATGTATTTTATGGAGGAGAGGGCAGTCAGCTGCACTCCCTCCGGCTCGAAGGTCAGGTGGTGCAAGGACTGAGAATCGTGGCACAGACAGTGCAGAATAATAGGGTGTGGTTTGGGGGCGCACACTTGGAAGCCTGCTTGGTTTCTCAGCTCCTCCATTTACTAGCTATGTGACAAGTTGCAGGACCTTTCTGTAATTGAGTTGCCCATCTGTAAAATGGGCTCTTAACCACTAGTATGCGGGGGTTGGTGTGATAAGTGTGAAGTGCGTGGAGCAGCAGCTCGCGCAGGAGAAGCACTGAGCAAGCGTTGGCTGCCGCTCGGCAGGAGGAGAGCTTGCCTTCTGTTCTGTGTGGGACAATTCCTTACTGGAAATCAGCGCAATAAAGGTTCATAAGCGTTTGGGTTTTGGTCCTTGTAGTTGTGGCTTCTGTAGAAGCACACGACTTGCTGCCTCATCTGATGGATGTAGCTCAGGGGTTCTGAGATCAATACAAACGGCTGAGTTCCTGCAGCGTTGGAAGCAGCAGGAAGCCACTGTTCACATGCTGCTTGCGTCTCTTGAGAATGATCACACTGCGCAGTCCTTGCCTTTGCCTGGCGTGTAACTCGTAGTTCAAAGCTTTTAGCAATCTTGTGTTCAGTAGTTAGAGCTTACGGAGACGATATTTTCTTCAGCCTCTGTACCTTTAGCATTACCCATTGTTCGGACTTCCTCAACTTTTACTGTCTTCTTTGTTCACCAGTTTCTTACATTTCCCATCTTCATCATTCTTGGGCTCATTTTTAGTTTCGCTGGAATGTTGTCAGGTTAATTGTCTCAGGCAGTGCCTGTGCATGGTGCACACTTGAGGATATTTGTCTCTCCACTAGCCTCAGAAGGCAGCTTGTATTCTGCCTGAAATACCCTTCTGTTTTATGTATCTTTTAGGTTCAGAAGACCTCTGGCTCTCAAGTCTAGGTTAAGTGTTTTTCTTATATGCATCTATTAAAATTGAAATTGCTTTCTTTTTTCTTTTCCAAGTATCTAGTAAGCTCTCAGCAGCAGTTCCAGATAAGGAATATCTTTTTCATTGTTGTGGCCCAGAATATAAGGCCCAGAGGCTGGTATATGGTAGGTAGTCAGTATTCGTGAATAAATGGGATGATGGATAACTGAATGTTTTATATACCTGTCAATTCCTGAACACTAAGGCAGCATAATCTAAAATTTCATTTGTAAAAGTGGTCCACAACATTGACACTTATTGCTCACTGTAATTTTATACGTTACTTACCTGGAGTATTTGGAGGAGAATTTAAATTCGGAATCTCTGTGAGGACAAGTTTGAAGATTAGCTAAAGCAGCAACTTGTGATGCTGTGGTATGAATGCTTTTCATGTTGAAAAACCCCTTTGTATGTTATTTGATATTTTTGCTACAGAACCGATGATGAAATAGATGATTCAGACGTTGAAGAAACACAAGAGGAGAAAATAAAATGGGAAGTAAGACTGGAGAGTGAGCAAGTCCCAAAAAAAGTAAGATTAAGTTGACATATTGGAAAAAGAGATAGGCATGGAAATGAAAAATCATTGAGGTCTCCTGGCTGCATCAGTCAGCATTTGAGACCCAGTTACTTACATCAAGGAAACTTGGTTACACTTTTTAAAAATTATTCATCATTCAATACCTTTGTCATTGTACATGTACTGTTTTTGGTATTGATTTTACTTCATTTTCCCTATTTCCCCCTCCCACAGTAGTTGGATAATGTGCTGACATCATAACAGGGTTTTTTATTTTCCTATTTCTGGATGAGATTATAAACTATTTCAAAAACTTCTTTCCTTAATTAAAATTGTGAACTGTTTTGATTTGCTGACTTCACCAACCTTAGTGGTATATAGCTTAAAGCCGGATGTTAGTTTGCTCAGCTCACATAGCAGAGAACATCTGGAGCCGATGCTGTGGTGCAGCGGGTTAAAGCCCCAGGCTGCAGTGCCAGCATCCCATATGGGCACTGGTTCGAGTCCTGGCTGCTCCACTTCTGATCCAGCTCCCTGTTAATGTGCCTGGGAAAGCAGTGGAAGATGGCCCAAGTCCTTGGGCCCCCGTACCCACATGGAGACCCAGAAGTTCCTAGAGAAGAAGCTCTTGGCTCCGGGCCTTAGATCAGAACCAGTAGATGGAAGACCTTCTTTCTGTCTCTCTACCTCTTTCTGTAACTCTTTCAATAAATAAAATAAGTCTTTTTTTTTTTTTTTTTTTTTTTGAAAAAAAAAAAAAACATCCAGGTAAACACTGGGCAAATCAAGAAAGAGAGAACATTGTTGCCTCCTTTATCGGTCATCCACCCTTTTCCTGTTAGAGAAAACCACAGCCCTAACTCGTATAGAATTCACTTTCTTGCTCTTTACATTTTTACTGCTTATGTAGTTATCCCTAAGGTTTTCCTGGCCTGTTTTTGCACCTTATACAACAGAATAGGTTTACATGTGTTCTTTTTTGTTTGGCTACTTTTACCTTTTTTTTTTTAGGCTTCATAAATACTGTGGGGTGTACACATTTGTTCCTTCTCAGAGCAGCATTGTCGTACTTAGACATTTGAGCTGCCTCCTGAACAGGGTGGTTTGGGGCAGGGCTGCCACATTCTTTGTCTTGTGCATTTTTTGATAAGTTTGCCCATTGAGTTTCCCTTTTTTGTGCTTGTTGAGATCTCTTTGTCCTTTTTTATCCCCTGTTGGATTGCCTGTTTTTGTTTTTGTTTGTAAGATTTATTTATTTATTTGAAAAAGTTAGAGGGAGAGACAGAGAGAGATCTTCCGTCCTCTGGTTCGCTCCCCAAATGGCTGCAACTGTTGGGTCTGGGCCAGGCTGAGGCCAGGAGCCAGGAGCTTCTTCCTGGTCTCCCACATGGGTGCAGGGGTCCAAACACTTGGGCCATCCTGCACTGCTTTCCCAGGCCATTAGCCTGGAGCAGAATTAGAAGTGACTCCAGCTGGTGCCTGTTAGTATAACTTGTGCCACAATGCTGCCCCCCCCCCCGTTTTTTTTTTTTTCTTCTTTCTTTTAGTTCTTTATTCTATATATGAGTGGTTTTAAAATCTGTATTGTTACATATTATGTGTTGCAAATAACTTGGAGGGGTGAACCAACAGAAAAAGGAAGACCTTTCTCTCTCTCTCTCTAACTCTGCCTGTCAAAAAAAAATAGATATTTCCTTTTACTCAGTGGCACTTTTCAATTAAATTCATACTTTTAATGTAGTCAGATTTATTAATCTTTCCTTTGCTTTTTGTGTTTGTTTAGATATCTTAAGATAATGAAAGGTTTTCTTACATTGTCTTCTAAAAGCTTCATTGTTTGCCTATAACATTGAAGGCAAATATAATCCCCCACAGTTGGTTTTTATATGTACTGTGAGGTAGTTGTCACTAATTTTGTTTTTACTTGTTTTGTTATAATTTCTAATTATTCCAGCACCATTCATCAGAGGGCAGAGGACTGTCTTTTCTCCCAGGTGTGGGCTCTGTTCTCTTCTACTGGCTGGCCTATCCCTGCCCCAAGACCTCACTGTATTACTATAGCTTTATAATGAGTTTGAATATTGCTGGACAAATCCTCTCATCTTTTTTTTTTTTTTTTTTTAGTATCTTGGCTGTCCTTAGCCCTTTGCATTGCCTTATAAATTTGAGAATCAGTTTGTCAAGTTCCACAGAAAGGCCTGGGGAGGTTTTCAGTGGAAATGCCTTGAACCTATAGATCTTTTTGGAGAGACTTGACATCTTTAGAATATTATCCAGTCTTTACATCTCCCCAAATGACCACAGCAGCCAGAGCTGGGCTGTCTGAAGTCAGTAGCCAGAAGCTTCTTCCCAGTCTTCTATGTGGGTGACAGGGGCCCCAAGCACTTGGGCCACCTTCTTCCACTTTCCCAGGCCGTTAGCAGAGTGCTGATTGAAAGTGGAGCAGCCGAAACTCAAACTGGATCCCATATGGGATACCGGCGTGGCAGGCAGCAGCTTTACCTGCTGTATCGCCACAACGCCAGCTCCCCCTCAAATACATTTTTAAATATCTTGTTCCAAGTTGTAGAATTTTTTTTCTCTTTCATTATATAAGTATCTACACAATATCCTCTGTCTTTGCCTCTCTCTCTGATCTACTCTCTTTGCCCCCTCTCTCTTTCTCTCTCTCTTTCTTTCTCTCTCTGTGTGTCTCTGCCTTTCAAATAAATAAGTAAATCTTAAAAAAAAAATGTATTTGAGAGACAGAAAGACACTGAGAGAGGGAACAGATTAATTACTGGGAGGCCTTTACTGACTGCTATTAGTCTTTTCTTGCCTTGTTAGCGTGACATGACATCGCATATGAGTTGTTTGCAGGTGGATGGAGCTCTTCAGTTGCACAGTTAGACAGGTTTTGATGGGGCAGTTTGTTTTGCACTATTATTAAAGGAGTTGTCATTTGAGCATGGAAAAATATATCTGCTGCGAATGAGTGTGGGTTTGGAGAGCATGCTCCTTTTATAACAGATAGCACAGTGATACTGAGCAAGGAAAACTGTTTGACCCATTTGCATGATTTGCCAATTATCCATGGAAGTATCTCCCAGTTTCTGCATGTCTTCAATCAGTTGTTCTTGCCAAGAGTCCACTTGTCTTAAACAACTTTCTTTTTAAAAAATATTTGAAATTTTCAGTTGACATATGGTTAATTTTGCATGTTTATGGACACTGAGATGTTTCAATACATGTGTACAGTGTTTGATGATCAGATGAGAATTATTGGCATGGCTATCACCTCATTTACCATTTCTTTGTAACAACTGTTTTCTCTGGGGATGTGCTTCTTCAATTGATTGAATTAGCTCACCCTCAGCCTTTCTATGATTGGCTCACAAATAAGCCACTGGAAGACTTTCATTGTAGCCTGAAGAAAGAAAGCTGTGATGAGATAATCATTTAAATTTTAAAATTTTTCCGACTGATTGGCTGGTGCTGCGGCTCACTAGGCTAATCCTCCGCCTTGTGGCGCCGGCACACCAGATACTAGTCCCGGTCGGGGCGCCGGATTCTGTCCTGGTTGCCCTTCTTCCAGGCCAGCTCTCTGCTGTGGCCAGGGAGTGCAGTGGAGGATGGCCCAAGTGCTTGGGCCCTGCACCCCATGGGAGACCAGGAGGGGCACCTGGCTCCTGCCATCGGATCAGCGCAGCGCGCCGGCCGCAGCGGCCATTGGAGGGTGAACCAAAGGCAAAGGAAGACCTTTCTCTCTGTCTCCCTCTCTCACTGTCCACTCTGCCTGTCAAAAAAAAAAAAAAAAAAAAAAAAAAAAAAAAAAAAAAATTCAGACTGACTTTCTTATGTTGGGAATATTGTGATGAATACATGCTACTATAATGTCAACATATGTTGTGTTCTTTTGGCACTACAGTGTTACTAATAATGACCTTGTGCTTTGCCATCTAACTCAACAGTAAAATAACCCACACTGTTGTGGAGGAGGACTTAGTACTCGCATGGGAAGCTGAGCTTGTACTGTACATTTTACTCAGTTTCCTTGGATGCCAGCCCTTTTTTCCCCAGGGAAAGTCCCTGTTGATTCTGTTCTGGTGAGGGGGTAAAACAAAAAGAATTTGTTATAATGCTTTGTCTGTTCTTAGCATAGTTTTATTTCATTTTCTAAAAACTTATTTATTTATTTGAAAGGCAGAATTACAGAGAGGGAAAGGCAGAAACAGAGATAAAAGTCTTCCATCTGCTGATTGACTCCCCGAATGGCCGCAACAGCCAGAGTAGGGCTGATCCAAAGCCTGGAGCCAGGAGCTTCCTCTGGGTCTCCCACATTGGGTGCAGGGGCCCAAGGACTTGGGGCACCTTCCATTGCTTTCCCAGGCCATAGCAGAGAGCTGGATTAGAAGTAGAGCAGCTGGGACTCAAACGGGCACCCATATGGGATTCTGGTGCTGCAGGCTGTGGCTTAGCCCACTACACCACAGCACCAGCCCCAGTGTAGAGTTTTAATTCCTCTTGTATAGCCCTCTTTCTCACACTACAACCTAAGCCAAATCTCCAGACACGGCTTCCTTTTTTGTTTGTCAGAAATCCCTCGAACTCCCTCAGTTACTGCTGAGTGCACTCTACACCCTCGTACTCATACACACTGTTATGTGTTTACACTTTTATTCTTGTGAGGTGTCAAGAGAGCATGCTAGTGCAGTTACTCAGCCTGAATCAAAAGCAAGAAAATGTTTTACTTGGGAAAAAAATATGATTTTAGACACCTTTACAGAAGGAGGTGTATACATGTTTGTATACTTTCTGAGTTTTATGAAGAACAGTAAACTGAAGCAGTAAATTTGTAGCCAGTTAAGTGAAGAAAAGTATTCAGTCATTTGCATTTTATGTATTTCAGTGCCTTCCAGAAAGAATCTCTAGCAATATTCATCTGTATAAAAAGCAACACAATTGATGATTGTCCTGGTTTTATTAATATTGCCAGATCATCCCGTGTCTTCATTCAGTGCAAGCCAAACGTGTTACCTCTTGTGGTAAAAGGAGTGTTTTCCAGTTCTGTAGGCCTAGGAGGTTATATAAGTGGAGGACACTTCATCTCTCAGTTGAGTCATAATATTTTGATTCAGTTACACTGAACAGAATCTCATCTTTGAGTTTGATTAAGCTAAACTTTGTGGGAGCTGCTGCATAGTGAATGATCCTTTGCTTCTCTCTGTGCCCACTAAATAAAATTAAAGATCAAAATGAAGGTGAACATAACAGTCTGTCTCTGGGGCTGGCCGGCTTTTCATAAAGTACTGAGTGGTGAATTTTTTGACTTTATGGGGCTAGTCTCTCACTACTAAGCACGGCTAAGACAACTTGTAAATGAATGGTGTGACTGGGTTCCAAGGAAACTTATAAAAACAAGTGGCCAGACTGAAGTTTTCTGATCTGTGTAGATTACTCCAAAAGTTATATTTACGGGTTTGTTCTGTGGTGTTATTGGGGAAAGGTACTTTTAGAGACTTGATAGCAAGGAACTTGCTGATGGCCTGAAGATTGTTAATTGGTTTCCTTGTCTGGTATAATGAAAATGAGGTATTCATCAAAGTCATTGTCAGATCAAGAAGTATCTTAGCTTGCTTGGATTCTTAAAGCAGGGAGAAAATACATTTTCTAGGCTTATGGTACAACTCCTACCTTTGAAGTTAACCATCACGTAAGCCATTAAATTAGACTGCCCTGGTATGTTTTATAATCACTTATTTTTTGTTTGTTTTGAGTTTGCTGCCTTAATCAGTTTCCATGTGAAAGCAGATAAGAGACCAGGTCACAGTCCATGGTTTGGAGCAGGATTATTGGTACTGTAATAAGGATGTCATTTCTTCCTTTTGTCAGAATAGAGGCTTCTTGGGATTTGGTCATTTTAAAAAAATAAAACTTTTTGATTAAAATTTATCATGCTTATATAGCTTGATGTACTTGTGTCGCCAAATGTAGACATGTATAACCAATTATATTATAGCCAATTACTTAGTTATAACCAAGTAATTTTTATGTAGAAATTTCTTCAAGTCCTCAGCTGTGATTAGCTTTGAGTCCTCTAGGATCTCTTCCTGTATTGAGTTTCTGTTCCAGTGGGTGCTTGGCTTCTTCACTGTCACCTAGGGACACCTTCAGCAGAGTTGGAAAACTGGTTCTGAAAGCAAAGTCAACTTGAAAACCAAGAACAGGGCGATTCTTTCTTCCTTATCATTGTTACTGCCACCACTGCTGGAGTTACAGGAGAAAGAGTTGGCGTTGGTAGCTGTGATGTAGTTTAGGTGTCAGTGATTTTTCAATAATGCCATTAATGTTTACTTGGTATTTTATCAAGTAATTAAAGTTTGAACTTTGAATTATGTAAAATGCAAGCTGTACAAATTCAGACTCTTCCCTCAAATTATCTTTCAGGTTAGATATATCATGCTGCATGTTTTTGTTTATTTTTAATTCTGAAATTTTCAAATATATCTTTGGGAAGATTAGTATACAAATCCTGTGTACCCACCCCGCAGTTGTAACAGTGATTGGTTCATGGCCAGTCTTATTTCTTGTGTACAGCCAGATTATTTTCTGTCATGCTAGGTTTTTTAAATTAGAAATTTAATTTTTACCTAGGCTCGGCACTTTGGAAATTCTGCGTCACCACCAAAGAATTCACTACATAGAAAATCAAGAAGTAAGGACTATGATGTATATAGTGACACTGAAATCTGCAGTCAGGAACCAGAGGATACTTTTGCCAAGGAGCTTCAGCAGTACATACAAGCTAAAGAGATGGCAAATGCCGCCCAGCCCTTACCATTTCCTGAAGAATCAGGGAAGAAAGAGGAAGCAAAAGATACCCAGCAAGGTAAGGGCCACACTGTTTTGCTGTTTAAACGTGACAGAAGCAGTCACAGTTGTCCGTTTTCTCCTGCACTGTGTCTCATGCTAAGGTCTTGGTTTTCTGTGGGTCGGTACACCAGATGTGGCTTCACATGGCCTGAGACCTGACACCTGGCTGCCTGATGCAGAAATGCTTACCATGTGCATGAGGAGCTGGTTGTATGGTAGTCTGTTAGCTCAGAAGTTTATTCTTCCAGATTATAAGAAGGAGATGTAGCCGTAAGTATGAGGGCAAATGACTGTTAAAATAAAAGTCTTACTGCTCTCATTTTTAAAGTTCTTTTCTTTTTTAAATTTTTATTTATTTTTATGAGAGGCTGGGATTCAGGAAGTGAGAATACAAGACAGATAGACAAACCTCCAGTCCTCTAGTATATTCCTAAAGTGCCTGCAATGGAAAAAGCTGGGAACTCAATTCAGGTCTCTCACAGGAGTGACGGGAACCCAGTTACCACTGCCTGCCACAGGCTGCATTAGCTCCTGGAGACAGGAGCCAGAGCCCGGAATCAAATCCAGGCACTCCAGTGGGATGCAGCCGCCTTAACTGGCATCTTAACCACTAGGTTAAAGGCCTGCCTCTACTGCTCTCATTTATGATTCTTTTTCCTCTGTTTCTTTTTATTTGTTTGAAGGATTTATTTATGTATTTGAAAAAGTGACAGAGATCTTCCGTCAGCCAGTTTACTCACTAGATTGCCACAATAGCCAGGGTTGGGTCAGGGTAAAGCCAGAAGCCAGAACTCCATGAGCGCTCCCATGTGGGTGTCAGGGGCCCAGGCATTACAGCCATCATCTGCTGCCTCCCAGGATGCATTAGGTGGAAGCTAGATCACAAGTGGAACAGCTGCAGATTTGAACCAGGACTCCTATGTGAGATGTGGGCATCCCAAGCAGTGTTTTAACCTGCTGTGCCACCATAATTCTTTCAGTCTCTTAATCCCAGAATTTCTGGAAAGTTCAATATCATACCAGTTTTCATTCATAGAGATACAGAGAACTTTTCCTGGATTATTATAATATGTATTTCTTAAACTGATACTATATTACTAAGTCATTTTTAAAATTAACTTTCTTATTTTTAGCTGCTAAACAGAAAAATAAAAATTTTAAAGCTGGTCAGAAGAATGGTAAGCAGAAGAAAATGAAGCGAAAATGGCCTGGCACTGGAAACAAAGGATCCAGTGCTTTACCAAGGAAAAAGTGCTCACAGGAAGAGGTACGAGAACCACAGCTTTGCTGTGGGATTTTTATCTTAAAGCTCAGTGACAAATGCAGTATGATATCATGAGTTGGGAGCATCCCACAAAGTTAGGGTCACCTGATGAAGAACTTCTCCTCTTATCATTGGTGGGCTTTTTGTGTTCTTACTATTGCAGCTTCTTTCTTTTTTTATTTTTTTCCCCCAACACTTATTTATTTATCTGAGAGAGGGATCTTCCATCTGCTGATTCACTCCCCCAAAGGCTGTAACTTTCAGGGCTAGGCCAGACTGAAGCCAGGAACCAAGAGCTTCAGTTCTTCCACATGGATGCAGGGGCCCAAATACCTGGTCCATGTTTTGCTGCTTTTCCTAAGCCATTAGCAGGGAGCTGGATTTGAAACTGGAATAGGGAGGACTAGAACCTGTGCCCATATGGAATGCAGGTGCAGCTTTACCCTTGTTTACCACAACACAGGCCCCCTGAAGTTTCCTTCTGTCTCCCTCATTAGCCTTCCCCATTGTACCTGGATTCACGCATACTGGCCCCTTGATTTTTGAGTATTGTACTGTCAATGACTGAAACCAACTCCCCCCTCCCCCCCCAAGGAGAGGGAAGGTAAGATAGCCTTGAGGGCATTTCAAAGACCTGAGTCTTACAAAAAGTTTTTAGTGTTGTCAGTCCCTCTTGTCTACTAATTCCTGACTCCCTTTAGAAATTCAAACTGAATCTTTCTGAACATTGGCCTTATGGAATACTCCCACCCTTAGCCCCCTGGATTTGCTTTTGCACTGCACTGTAGAAGTTTCTCTTCCTTCGTCCCCAGATGTGATCAGAGTAGGGTGATAAGTAACTCCTGAGGACCCTGGTTTTCTGGAGGGCTTTTAAACTGGATGGCAGCCTTTTTAATAGTCTTGGTCACAGGGACAGGAATGGAGAGAGTACCAAGTATGACTGCTTAAACCACAGTTACATACAATCTGTCCCTGCCTCCACGTTTACACATGAGGAGGCTGAAGCCCCATTAGCAGCCCTTGGTCACACAGGGCTCAGCAGGGACTGGGAGCTCTGGATCCCCTGTCAGCATTCCGTCTCATGTGGTTTACATTGACACACATGATTCAGCCAAAGCTGGCAGTCCTCGTACATGAATAACACGTTCTAACCATATGTGTTAGAGTTTAAAAATGTAATCAGATGAAACCAAAGATTTAAACTGACACAGGGGCTGGCGCTGTGATGCAGTGGGTTAACACCCTGGCCTGAAGTGGAGGCATCCCATATGGGCACCGGTTCTAGTCCCAGCTGCTCCTCTTCCGATCCAGCTCTCTGCTATGGCCTGGGATAGCAGTAGAAGATGGCCCAAGTCCTTGGGCCCCTATACCCACATGGGAGCCCAGAAGAAGCTCCTGGCTCCTGGCTTTGGATCGGCACAGCTCTGGCCATTGCGGCCATCTGGAGAGTGAACCAGCGGATGGAAGAAATCTTCCAAAAAAAAATAAACTGACATGTAATTCGCATGATACAAAGTAGAAATTTGTTTTTGTTGCAAAACAAGTCATACAAATGACTGTTAGCTCCCTTCTTAATTGTACATTCTGTATTCCCGACTATATTCATTAATTTGGTATACAGAAGCTGTTAGCTGTGCCAAAAGCTAATATTAACAGTAATTTATTTATTTATTTAAAGATTATTCATTTATTTGAAAGAGCTACACAGCGAGAGGAGAGGCAGAGAGAGAGAGAGAGGTCTTCCATCTGATGGTTCACTCCCTAATTGGCCGAAATGGCCAGAACTGCGCCTATCCAAAGCCAGGAGCCAGGAGCTTCTTCCAGGTCTCCCACGTGGGTGCAGGGGCCCAAGGACTTGGGCCGTTCTCCGCTGTCTTCCCAGGCCATAGCAGAGAGCTGGATTGAAAGTGGAGCAGCCAGGTCTCCAGCCCATTTGGGTGATGTTGGTGCTTCAGGCCAGGGCGTTAGCCCACTGCACCACAGCACCGGCCCCAGTAGTTTATTTCTTAAGAGCTAAAATGTATTATAAAATTCCCCTTCTGTTTCTTATATAAGAAATCTCCTTTATTTCCATACCTTTATCATAACCTTTTAGGATGTATGTCTAGTTGGATTTACTTTGAACTAGTCGGTATACTTAACTCATACCTACTGAGCACCTCATTAAAACCATAGATTTCAGGCTGGTGCTGTGGTGCAGCGGATTAAGCTGCACTTCTGATCCAGCTCCCTGATAACACGCCTGGAAAAGCAGCAAAGGATGGCTCAGGTCCTTGGACCCCTGCACCCATGTGAGAGACCCCGATGAAGCTCCTGGCTCCTGGTTTCAGCTCCTAGCCCAGCACTGGTGTTCACAGCCATCCTGAGGGAGTGGGGGAGCCAACAGATGGAAGAGCTCTCTCTCTCTCTCTTTCCTTTCTCTTTGTAACTCTGCCTGTCAAATGAATAAATAAATCTTAAAAAAAAAAATACAGCTTTCACTGTTTTTGGTCCATGCTATGATTTCTAGCCTTGTCTCCATTCTAAAGATATTTGTTTTTTGATTTGGCTTTTTATCACAAATATTAGTACTTTCATTTTAAAAGTTTTTCATTTGTTAATAAAATAAGGGCAAAACATAAAATATTCAAATTGCATGCTGATATGTGATTGATGGAATGCTGTTGAAATTGGCAAAACATTCTCTTTTTTTTTTTTGAAAGAGTTAGAGAGAGAGAGAAAGAGATTTTTCCATTTGCTGATTCATTCCCCAAATGGCTGGAATGGCCAGGAGTGGCATAGCCAGGAGCAAGAGCTTCATCTGGGTCTCCCATGTGGGTCAAGGGGCCCATCTTCCACTGCTTTCCCAGGCCATACCAAGAGCTGGATCGGAAGAGGAGCAGCCAAGGCTGGAACTGGCGCCCAAGTGGGATGCTGGCACCCCAAGCGGGAGCTTAATCACTGTACCACAGCACTGGTCTCAAAACATTCATTTTTAAACAGATATACAGGAGTCTAAATATTGCACATGAAAGCCAATTTAGAAGAGTCACTTTTAAATGTTTTAAAGGTGGTTTAAAATAATTTTTGTGCAACAGAATAAAATATGTAATGTTTTAGTTCTCACATGTGGGTCTTTGTTTTTGTTTTTGAAGGATGGTAAGCCTAAAGAGAAGCAGCAGCACGTGATAATGAGTCAAGGGTTCATCAACCAACATACTGTGGAACGCAAAGGAAAACAGATCTGTAAATATTTTCTCGAAAGGAAATGTATTAAGGTATAAAAATTTGTAAGCAAAAATACAACAAAATATAAAGGTATAGCAGAAATGTACTCGAACAAAGCATTGTTTCCATTTGAGACTCTTTAAATCATACCTATAGTTTATAGAAGAAATTCAATTAGTAAATTTCAGTAAAATATACTTTTATGTTTAAAAAAGATGATTTTAAAAAATGCTTTGTATTAAAAATGTTTAAGACTTAAAATTGTAAGCAGATTTCTGCGATTTGGTTATAACTCAGTAGGAACTAAGCTGTACTGTTTCTAAGACTGTTTCTGGAATCATTTGCTTATTTAAGGTTTAGTAGGAATTGCATGTTAATGACTTCTCTGTTAGGAATAATGACTCTTCCGTGTTCTTTCTTTTGGCCCAGGGCGACCAATGTAAATTTGACCATGATGCTGAAATAGAGAAGAAAAAGAAAATGTGTAAATTTTATGTACAAGGATATTGTACCAGAGGTGAAAACTGTCTGTATTTGCATAATATCCTTTATCACAAGAGTAATTTGGGTCTTTGAAGATATTTATAGGGATTTATTTTTATTTTTTTAAAGTTTTATTTAATTACAGGGATATTTTTTAAGTATGCAAAACACTTGATGAAATCAATATTGTAGCTTCAGCAGGATTATGCTGTCCAAGACCAACTTAGTCTCAGTGTTTGGATTACATGTGGATAATTATTATTATTACTAATATTTGACATAAGAAAAAAGAAAAGTCTCTCGAATAAAGATGCTTTCTGCTAAACCTGGGTGGTACAGTGGATTCATGAAACCATTTCAAGTCCCAGAAAGATGTTGTCAAAATTTCTACTGTGACTTTTACTAACTGAATCTATCCTCATATAAGCTATTCGGTAAAAAAAAAAAAAAAAAAAAGGCAGGGCTTGCATATAAGAAGGTACTTGTTTTCTGTGCTGCAGGAAGGGTAATTGTCTCTTAGTTTGAAGAATAACCTTAGCTCTTCAGTGCAAGATATAGACATGTTGCAAAAACATATCGCATAAACATTTTAGGATAATAACACCTTTGGTCATCTCAAAAAGTTGATTTTGTTAAGTCATTCAAAACAGAAACCTCAAATTCTAACTTGAAGATGTTTTTTCCTAGATTTTTTTTAAAAAAGATTTTATGTATTTATTTGAAAGTCAGAGTTACACAGAGAGAAGAGAGGCAGAGAGAGAGAGAGAGAGGTCTTCCATCTGATGGTTCACTCCCCAGATGGCCACAACAGCTGGAGATGTGCCAATCTGAAGCCAGGAGCCAGGAGCTTCTTCTGGGTCTCCCATGTGGGTGCAGGGCCCAAGGACTTGGGCCATCTTCTACTGTTAACCCCAGGCCATAACAGCTGAATCGGAAGAGGAGCAGCCGAGACTAGAACCGGTGCCTATATGGGATGCCAGCGCTTCAGGCCAGGGCTTTAACCCACTGCGCCACAGCGCCGGCCCTGTAATCTTTCTAAAATTACATTTTTTCATGCTTTTATTAGGTTTTTCACCCGATTTATTATCTAATAATTTAAACAGATAATTCGATGTTTCTACTAGTAGGAAAGGTCTTGAGGTAGGAAAAATGAAGTCATTAATAACAAATTATTACAGCTGGATTGAAATTGTTCTCTTCCTTAACATTTGGATTACATGAATATCCTTGTAAGTTTTACCATACAGGAACAAAATGTTACCAGGGGGAGTACTGCAAATTTTCACATGCTCCACTGACTGAGGAGACACAAGAACTGCTGGCTCAAGTAAGTACAATTTTAATGATCTGTTGGTTTTCTTTTATAAAGAATGTTTGAACTAAGCGTCAGAATCTGAAAAGATGCTCTTCTTTAAGGAGAGTGCCTCATGGGCTAATAGATGGATCAATTTAGGATTGATAATCTGAGAACTTTTTTCAGTTGGAAAATTATTTTTTATTTGGATATTTTTCATTTCGTTGAAGATTTACATTCATTGCTGATATAAATTGGAATGTGTTTTTAAAACCTTCAATTAGTTGTCAACTTTAGTAGCTAGGCTAAACAAAGGAAAGTAAAGCAAATATGAAGAAGAGAATTCTGATATAAAGAAGCAAGTTATATCAGAAATAGTGAAGTAGGCCGGCGCCGCGGCTCACTAGGCTAATCCTCCGCCTTGCGGCGCCGGCACACCGGGTTCTAGTCCCGGTTGGGGCGCCGGATTCTGTCCCGGTTGCTCCTCTTCCAGGCCAGATCTCTGCTGTGGCCAGGGAGTGCAGTGGAGGATGGCCCAGGTGCTTGGGCCCTGCACCCCATGGGAGACCAGGAAAAGCACCTGGCTCCTGGCTCCTGCCATCGGATCAGCGCGGTGCGCCGGCTGCAGCGCGCCGGCCGCGGCGGCCATTGGAGGGTGAACCAACGGCAAAGGAAGACCTTTCTCTCTGTCTCTCTCTCTCACTGTCCACTCTGCCTGTCAAAAAAACAAACAAACAAAAAAAAAAGAAATAGTGAAGTAGTAGTTTCAGAGTATTTTCTTCAAATATTCTTTGCATCTATGAGAAAAGATTATGGAAAAAGCAGTTATTTTCATTTCCCATGTATAAGTTGAAAATAGTCTCTCAAAATTAAATTGAAATCAAGATGAAAAGAAAAGTTTCTTTTAAAACAGTCATACCATCTTGTGATTGGACCGCCATTAGCATATGCAAGTATTAGGAAATTAAAGGTGCTTATTTCTGGATATTTCTAGGTGGGAAAATATGAAAGGTTACTGTGGAATTAGAAGTTACAACAAATATTTAGTTATTTTATATGCAAAATATATAGAAAAATAACATAAAATTAGTTTTTCAATTCCTCTTGTAGTAAATATTATTAGATGATTATTAGGATGAATGTTACAGGAATCATTTGAAAAGTATGAATATGATGATGTACCTGAATTAGATTTTAAGGCATAGTAAATTATTCACAAAATGATTATGTGATTTTTCTTCATATTAGGTTTTGGATTCTGAAAGGAAATAATGTAAATAAAATAGACATGAAAAGGTAAAATTAGAATATATTGCATTTCTTTTATTCTCTGAAACATCTCTGGAATTGGCATGGCAGCCTCATTTTGGCTTTTTCTCAAATAAAGTGTTTGACACATACACATAGATATGTGGCTCTCCATTGGCCTGCTTCCCTGTCTACTTACCTGTTAGTATTTTTATTCTCCTCTTGTATTTCTGTGTAGATTTACCAAATGTATATAGTTTACTAATTTTATCATTTCTGTTAATTGGTGTTTTCATTCAACCTCATACCTCGAAGATTCATTCATGTAGATGAATTAGCTTTCACTCATTGAGTTTTATTCCTATATAGCAATTCATTCTATGAATATGTTAGTCTTTTAATGAATATTAGCTTGTGTTTTATTTTTTTAAATACACGTGCTTTGCAAATATTCATAGACATCTAGTATAAACATGCATGAGTTATCTAAGCTTTATACCAAGGAGTAGAATTGTTTTGTCCATTTAAGATATTATCTCTTTTTTTTTAGATTTTTATTATTTATTTGAAAGGCAGAGTTACAGAGAGGCAGAGGCAGAGAGAGAGTCTTCCATCTGCTGGCTTACTCCCCAGATGGCTGCAATGGCCGGAGCTGCACCAATCCGAAGCCAGGAGCCAAGAGCTTCTTCCGGGTCTCCCACATGGGTGCAGGGGCCCAAGGACTTGCGCCATCTTTTACCTCTTTCCCAGGCCATAGCAGAGAGCTAGATCAGAAGAAGAGCAGCCAGGACTAGAACTGGTGCCCATGTGGGTTGCCAGTGCTTCAGGCCAGGGCTTTAACCTGCTGCGCCATAGCGTTGGCCCCGATAATATCATTTTTTAAGAGTATTATATAACAGCGCTTAATACAAACTGTGTAGAACTGTTGTTCCACACTTGCCAATAGTTTATATTATCAATACTTCCAAATTTTTTTAACCAATTTAGTGAGTGTAAAAGTGGTGTCCTGGCCTTTATTTTCATTATATACAGCATCTTGCCTTATGACCCTTGAGTTTCATCTTTGGTGAAATGCTTGTTAATGGCTTTTGTGTGTGTTTCTATTGGTCTGGTGGTCTTTTATACATTGATTGTATATATTTTTGTTGTAATCCTTTGTGAAAAATGTGTAGCATTTTCTGGGCTATCTTTACTTTCCTTGAGGCATCTCTGAATAGAATTCCTTATTTTGGCAATCTTGGTTGGTTTGGTTTTATGTGTTTGTGTGTAAGATTTATGTATTTGAAAGGCAGAGTTACAGAGAGACAGAGAAAGAGAGGTCTTCCATCTGCTGGTTCATTCCACATATGGCTGCTTTGGCCGGAGCTGAGCCTATCTGAAGCCAGGAGCCAGGTATTTCTTCCAGTCTCTCACGTGGGTGCAGGGGCCCAAGGACTTGGGCCATCTTCTACTGCTTTCCCAGGCCTTAGCAGAGAGCTGGATCAGAAGTGGAGCAACTGGGACGCAAACCTGCGCCCAAACCAGCGCCCATATGGGATGCCAGCACTGTAGGCAGTGACTTTACCCGCCATGCTACAGCACCAGCCCCCTGCTCCACTTCTGATCCAGCTCTCTTTTATGGCCTGGGAAAGCAGTAGAAGGTGGCTCAAGTGATTGGGCCCTTGCACCTACGTGGGAGACCCGGAAGAAGCTCCTGGCTCTTGGCTTTTGATGGGCCCAGCTCAGGCCATTGCAGACATTTGGTGAGTGGACCAGCAGATGGAAGATCTCTCTCTTTCTCTCCCTCTCACTGTCTATAACTCTGCCTCTCAAGTAAATAAATAAATCTTTAAAAAAAATTCACAGAAAACCAATAGCTAATATCAAAGCGCTGGTGAAATTTAAAAAGGAGGGGAGCTGGTGCTGTGACATAGCGGGTTAAATTGTTTCTTGGCTGCTTTTTGCATGTGGATATCCTGTTGTCTCAGCGCTGCTTTTTTTTTTTTTTTTTAAGTTTTATTTATTTACTTATTTGAAAGGCAAGCAATAGAAGGAGAGACAGAGAGATATTTTATATTTCTTGGTTCACTCTTCAAATGCCCACAACAGCCACGGCTGGGCCAAGCCAAAACTTGGGCCTGAGACTATATTCAGGTCCTTTAGTTTTGGATTTTTCATTGATAGTATATAGAAATTGAATTCATTGGCTGGCGCCGCGGCTCACTAGGCTAATCTTCCGCCTTGTGGCGCCAGCACACCGGGTTCTAGTCCCAGTTGGGGCGCCGGATTCTGTCCCGGTTGCCCCTCTTCCAGTCCAGCTCTCTGCTGTGGCCCGGGAGTGCAGTGGAGGATGGCCCAAGTGCTTGGGCCCTGCACCCCATGGGAGACCAGGAGAAGCACCTGGCTCCTGCCTTTGGATCAGCGCAGTGCACCAGCCGTGACGGCTATTGGAGGGTGAACGAAGGGCAAAGGAAGACCTTTCTCTGTGTCTCTCTCTCTCTCACTGTCCACTCTGCCTGTCAAAAAAAAAAAAAAAAAAAAAAAAAAAAGAAGAAGAAGAAGAAAAGAAAAAGGAAAAAAAGTGAACACAAATAGAAAACATCACCTTTGTCCTGGGTCTAGGCAGGAGCATTCAGTCTTTGACCATCGCATATGATGTTAGCTTTCGGTTCCTGTGAATGGTGGTTTTTTTTTTTTTTTTTTTTTTTTTTTAGATTTACTTATTTACTTGAGAGGCAGAATTACAGACAGAGGGGGAGAGAGAGAGAGAAATATTCCATCCAGTGGTCCACTCCCCAGATGACTGCAACAGCCAGAGCTGGGCCCATCCAAAGCCAGGAACTTCTTCCGGGTCTCCCACATGGGTCCAGGAGACCAAGGACTTGGGGCATCTTCTGCTGCTTTCCCAGGCCATAGCAGAAGTGGAGCAGTCAGGACTCAAACCAACGCCCATATGGGATGCTGGTGAAATCGGAGAAGACCCCCTAAAATTCACACTAAGATGTGGCCCTTTAAAGTTCCCTAGAAATATTATCCAGGGTGCCACATTGCTACCAGAATTTGGAGTGCCTTACAATTTCACCATGGGCTTATTACTAAATCCCCGATATTAATAAGCCCGAGAGGGTTCTTGCTTAATATTTAGAAAAGAATTCTAAATGCTGGCACAGATAAACAAGGCAGCATGGTACGTTTTAAGCTTTTATTTAGTAAGAAAGATGCATAAGAGAGTGAGAGCTTATTTAGGGGAGAGAGGTGAATAGGGGTTCATACCGAGCACCAGGAACCAGCCACATGGAAGAGCATCTAGGCCAGGAAGCCTAGAGCACATGGCGCCCTGGAGGCGTGGGGCTACAGCAAGTCCTGTCCTGGCAAGAGGCCAGGGAAGAAGAGCAGGCCAGGCCACACTGTGTCCCAGGCTTTTAACCCACTTCCAAAGGGGAGTGGTTAATTAACCTGATTGGCTGGTTGGAACCTAGGTCTGGCCAGGTAGGGGGATGAGGACACACAGGGGCGTGGTCTTCCAGCTCACAAACCTAATGGATTTTAACCTGTGTGCCTGCCTACGTCATTGGCGCTGCACAGGTGAAGGCTTAGCCCTACGACGCCACAGTGCGAGCCCCAGCTGTGAATGTTCTTTATTAGTTTGGGAGAGTTCCCTCCTTTTTCTAGTTTATTGAAGATCTTTCTCATGGATGGGTATTAGACTTCATTAAATGGATTTTCTTTATCTATTGAAATGATTGTGTGATTTTTCCTTCTGTTAATCTGATACACACTAGCTTCTTCTTATCCATGGGGGATATCTTCCAAGCCCCTTAGTAGATGCCTGAAACCACAAATAGTAATACCAGATATGTATTTTCCTCATCTTGTTTTTATTCTCTTTGTTCTTGTTCTGCCTTTGTCTAGTACCTTTTATTACCTTTCCATTCAAGTCTGTTTTTTCTTGTAATCATTTTGGTATGATTTTTTTCTTGTATCATCTCTAAGGTCACTCAATTCTGTTTCATTACTTACTTTTTTTGTTCATTTGTAGCCTTGGTTTTTGAATTTCAGTTTAGGATGTTTTCCATTTTCCCAAAGAGGGGTATTTAATTCATTTTGGTTTTTTGTTACGGTTTTCTTCTGCTGCAGTGTTTTTTTGGAGGGGGCAGGGGAGTGGGGCAGCTAAAACGGTAATGTTCACAAGCCGATGTTTTTGTTCTCTGTTTTCTTACGCAGCTTTATATAGGTGAAGAGTGCTGAAGCCTGTCAGAACTTTTCAAGACTGGTGATTTGGATGGAGTACTTTCTGAGATTGCGCAGTTAAAGCGCCCTCTTGTGCCATGGTGATGCTATGCAGTTTCTTTAATGGTGGTGCAGAGGGACAGAAGCCACTGTACAATGAGGGGTTGGTCTTCACCGTGGTGCTGCAGCCAATGGAACGCGGCTGGCAGAGATGCTGGTGGGTGGGTAAATGTGGTAGTAAATGACATAAGTCTCTTGACTGGCTTTTCTCAATAAAACAGGAGGAGAGGCTCGGCTGAGTGAGGACGGGTGGTAGTGTAGCTCTGAGGAGAGAGAACTGCTGGGAAGACATTGGAATAGTATAAAAGAGAGCTGGATCTCTTCGTGTCATTAAATACCTTCACAGTGTATTTTAATGGTTGTTCACAATTCCGTTTTGTAGCGTAAAATAAATTATGGTTCTTTGATATTTCAAAATCAGTTTCCTGTTGGACATTTAATTTATTTCTAGTTTCTTACTGTTGTAAATAAAATGGAACAATATATTGAGCTATATCATTCTAAACTTGGTGTTACTGACTTTTCTGTTGTTAAAGTATATGTAAGAATATTTCTGTTTCCTGTTCACAAACTATACTCAGATTAGACACTTGTCTAAAATACAAATTTTAGGAATGTGATGATATCTTTAACAGTATTCAAATACAAAATTGTTCACTTTAATGACATTCTAAATAGGAACTTTTCTGTAGATGTACTGATTATTAGAAAAATACCAAAAAAGCATCAGATTATTGCTGGGAAAATAATAGCAGTAAGAAAATAAAATAATAAGAGTACAGCAATGCTAGTGGCCCTTCTTAGCAAAGACCTATTTGAAAACATAAGCCAAAGTTATTAAGTTATAATCCAGTCTCACTGAAGCAAGGAAGGGAATTAATATCTTGCAAGTAGAGATTCTCGGGCAAAAACGAAGAAAGGAAGAAATCAGGGTGGGTCCTTGGCCCCTAGAAGCAGGAGACAGCTGAGGGTGTCATCCGTCAGTACCCTGTTGCTGTCACCAGGGTGATGGCTATGGAGGAGGGTCAGGCAGCCCATAAGGAGGTGCTAGAGGCAGGTCAATGGGTCTGTTAAAAAAAAAAAATACTGATAATTTCATGAGATTGTCCAAGGCAATAGTTATATTACCCATAGAATTTTAAAGATCAAAAATAACTTTTAAGGAGTGCAAGGTAAAAGATTTATCTATTTGAAAGGCAGAGATACAGAGAGGGAGAGAGGTATCTTCATCCACTGGTTCACTCACCAAATGACTGCAATGGCCGGGGCTGGAGACAGGAGCTTCTTCCATGTCTCCCAGTGGGTGCAGCGGCCCAAAAGTACTTGGGCCTATCGTCCGTTGGTTTTCCCAGGTGCATTAGCAGGGAGCTGGATTGAAAGTAGAGCAACCAGGATTTGAACCGGTGCCTATATGGGATGCCAGCACTACAGGCAGATACTTAACCTGCTATGCCACAGTCCTGGGACATTTGTTTTTTATTATTCTGTCTTCATGGGCTCCATAAATATTTGTAATTATTATGATAATCTTAACAATTGCTTTCCTAACATTACCTTATGTGAAGGTTAATACTGAGGGATGCATAAATGTTTATTTATGAAACTTATGTATAAGAAAAGAAACAATTCTTATATTCCCAAGGCAGTACCCATCTTGTAAATTTATTTAAAATTTTATTTATTTAAGAGGCAGAGCTATAGACAGAGGGAGAGACAAAAAGAAATGTCTTTTATAGGCTGCTTCACTCCCCGAATGGCCACAACTGCTGATCTTGTTGAAAAGACAAACTCGTCTGTTCAGTGAGATCTTCACTTGCGTTAAGTCAGGAGAAAGCCTACTGGATTGCCCTGTGCACCCAGAGCAGCCACTAAGCCGCTTTCTCATCCTGGGTTATTGTATCCCCTTCTAAGGATCGCCTGCCTCATTCTGCACTTCCTTCTCTACAGTTCACCCTGGTGTCCACGGAGCAGGTTTCCCAGGGTGTGGTGTCCTGAATGAAGACCCGTGGTTCTGCCTGGTGTTGGGAGTGTCCTGTCATCTTGCCACCTCTGCCATACCAAGCTTTACTCCCTTCTCTCTCTACCCTGTCTCTCCTTGGTTTCCTCCTATATAAATCTCACTGCCCCTTGATGCAGCTCCAAGCCAGTACATGTATGAAAAAATGTAAAGAAAGATTTATTTATTTGAAAGGCAGTTATGGAGAGGCAGAGAGAGAGATCGATCTTCCATCTGCTAGTTCACTCCCCAGATGGCTGCAATGGCCAGGGCTGGGTCATGCTGAAGCAAGGAGCCAGGAACTGCAAGTCTTTCCCTTGGGTGACATCTTGGCCATTCTTCACTAAGCAGTGGAGGCTGTCTTCCCCTGCATTCGCAGGCGTATTAGCAGGGAGCTAAAGCAAAAGCAGAGTAGCCAGAACTGGAACCAGTGCTCATGTGGAATGCTGGCATCACAAGCAGCGGCTTAACCCCCTTCACCATGAGGCACAGGTCTCAATTCCATCTTATCATGACCATTTTGAAGTATCTTTGTAGTTATCACTCTTTACAGATGTGGAAATCACAAGTGTAAAGAAGACATTCCTGGGGCTGTCACTGTGGCGTAGAAGGTAAAGCTGCCGCCTGCAGTGCCAACATCCCATATGGGTGCTGGTTCAGGTCCTGGCCGCTCCACTTCCGATTCAACCCTCTGCTATGGCCTGGGAAGGCAGCAAAAGGTGGCCCAAGTCCTTGGGGCCCCTGCATCCACGTGGGAGACCTGGAAGAAGCTCCTGGCTCCTGGCTTCAGATCTGCACTGCTCTGGCCGTTATGGCCAATTGGAGAATGAACCAGGGGATGGAAGACCTCTCTCTCTCTGCCTCTCCTCTCTCTCTGTAATTCTTTCAAATAAATAAATAAATCTTAAAAAAAAAAAAAAAAAACATTTCCTGCCCTGGGTCACCATGGTTTACATGTTGTATACTATCACATGTATTTACTCCTCTTCTAATGGAATGTTAGTTTTGGTTAGCTTCCTCCTTCTTCCATGGAATCATCTGTGTTTTGTGGATAGTGGGCCCTGGCCCAGACCCTAAGGGTTATTATCAACAACAGGAGTCTAAGTTTGTGGTTCTCAACCTTGGCTTCACAGTGAAATCATTTAGCAAGTTATTTTAAAAAAAAAAAAAAAGTACTGATGCCTGGGGCCCACTCTTAGAAATTCTGATTCCCACCCTCCTTTCTTTTTTGGCTTTGGTTGTGGACATGAGATTTTTCAGTAGCTCTCAAATAGATACCTGATTCCAAAGCACAGCCAACATTGAATACCACTGGTATCAAAAAATAATGGAAGCCGGCGCCGCAGTTCACTAGGCTAATCCTCCGCCTTGCGGCACCGGCACACCAGGTTCTCGTCCCAGTCGGGGCGCCAGATGCTGTCCCGGTTGCCCCTCTTCCAGGCCAGCTCTCTGCTGTGGCCAGGGAGTGCAGTGGAGGATGGCCCAAGTGCTTGGGCCCTGCACCCCATGGGAGACCAGGAGAAGCACCTGGCTCCTGGCTTCAGATCAGTGTGTGCTGGCCGCAGCGCGCCAGCCACGGCGGCCATTGGAGGGTGAACCAACAGCAAAGGAAGACCTTTCTCTCTGTCTCTCTCTCACTGTCCACTCTGCCTGTCCAAAAAAAAAAAAAAAGGAAATGCCATTCTTCTTGCCAGCAACTGGTTCAAGCTTGAAATAAGAATATATATCCTGGGGCTGGCGTTGTAGTATAGTGGATTAAGCCACCTCCTCCAGTGCCAGCATCTCATACAGGTGCCGGTTTGAGTCCTGGCTGCTCCACTTTTAATCCAGCTGCCTGCTGATGTGCCTGGAGAATGGCCCCCAATACTTGTGTCCCTGCTCTGATTTGGGAGACCCGAAAGAAACTCCTGGCTCCTGGCTTCTGCCTGGCGCAACCTAATTGTTGGCGGCCATTTGAGGAGTGACCCAGTAGATGAAAGATTTTCTCTCTTCTCTCTCCCTCCTTCCCTCCCTCTCTCTGCCTTTCAAATAAATAAATAAATCTTAAAATTTTTCAATAGTAGATAATCCCAATATAGCCTCTGTTCCCTCCTTTATACTATATGCAAATTAAATTTGTGTACATTGCAAGTTCATCAGCATGATTTTGCAATTATTGTTTCATGCAGTTGTCACTTAAAGCAGGTAAGATTTGTGGCCAGGAGCCTGGAACTCCATCCGGTCTCCCACATGGGTAGCAGGGGCCCAAGCACTTGGACTGTCTTTGCTTTTCCAGCTGCATTGGCCAGGGAGCTGGATTGGCAGTGGAACAGCCAAGATGCAAAGTGGCACACAGTACGGGATGCCAGCGTTGCAGGCGGCAGCTTAAGTTGCTGTACCACAACACTGCCCCCCCCCCCATCTTTTATGTTTATGTGTATAATTATCTTTACTGATGTTCTTTATGTCTTTGTGTAGATCCACGTTTCTGTCTGTATGGTTTGGATAGTTTGAATGTTGGATTCCAATAATTACCAGATAAAGTGCTCATGTCTGTTGGCAAGAAGCTCCTGGATCATGAGAATTCAGGTTCCCCTTACTGCAAATTTCTAAACTACTTTTTAAGAGATTCTACAGACATGGTCTTACTTACCATTCCCATAAATCTTAAATAAATACAAGCTTTGTATCCCAGCTGTATTCTACGCAAAAAATATTTCAAATTTATTTGCCCGGATATGTTGCTTGGCAGATAGAGTCGTTACATAATCATATGAACTGGACTTTAATCTTGGACTTCCTGAACAAATTGGTGATTCAGCCTATACCTGCTGACATACCAGCTCTTTCAGACTCCCTCCGATAGGCCCGGGGACTGCAAGCCAACTTAAACTTCGTCGTGTAGCTGAACTCAGTTAGGTAAACCCGGAACCCACAGAAACGATCCCCCATTGCAGCCAAACGCACATGAAGCAGTCATTTCAGTGCATGAAGGCAAGTCTGGTCGCAGTGAATTCCTTATTGTTTCAGAGTCTGAATGCTTGTCCTTGTGCGGCTGTAAAGGGCTCTATGTTCTCCCCAAGTTAGCGAGATGATGTGAGCAGCTCTCCAGGAAACAGAAGCCTGCCCGGCCTCCCCAGGGCCCCACTGCTCTAGACTGCCAGGAGTTTTGGATGGCTGTGTTCTTTGGGATGCACCCTACAGCCAAATCCGAATCAGGAAAAAGAAGAGGGCAAAAAACAGCTTTGACTTTTGAAATGGGATGTGCAGGCCTTCTCTCCCAGGGCTGGAGAGGGAAGGGAAAGGAAAGGAAAGGGAGAGCCTGGAACAAATGAGGAGACCTGGGAGATATGCCACTGGAAGGTATTCTGGTGCCCGTGGCCTTTGATCTCTTAAATTTTGGCCAGAGAGGCCAGTGTTGCGGTGCAGCGGATTAAGCCACTGTTTGCAACTCTGGCATCTCATCAGAGCAGCAGTTCAAGTCCCTGCTGCTCTGGCTTCCGATCCAGCTCTCTGCTAATGCACCTGGG